ACTCTTACAACCCACTAATTTCTCCTCTGAACCTTCTTACACTGTCTCACACGTGAACTTTTGGGGAACACTCACAGCTAAACCATAACAGATAGTTTTCCTAATTTCTCTTTCAGTTGATTGATCACTGATGTATAGGAACACAATTGCTTTATGGGTGTTAATATTATATTCTGCTACTTTGCTGAATTTGTTTATGAGTTCAAGAAGTCTTCTGGGGGAGTTTTTGGGTCTTCTAAATATAGAATCATGTCATCAGCAAATAATGATAGTTTTAATTCTTCTTTTCCTATTCATATCCCTTTAATTTCTTTTGTGTAATTGCTCTAGCTAGAGTTTCCAGGACTGTGTTGAATAAAAATGGTGAAAGAGGGCATCCCTGTCTTGTTCCAGTTTTTAGAGGGAATGCTTCCAATTTTTCTCCATTTGGAATGATGTTGGCCTGGGGCTTAGCATAAATAGCCTTTATGATGTTGAGGTATTCCGGTTATTCCTAGTTTTTCTAGTGTTTTGAACATAAAGTGGCATTGTATTTTGTCAAATGCTTTATCTGCATCTATTGAGATAATCATGTGATTCTTATCTTTAAGTCTATTATGTTGATTGATTTCCATATGTTGAACCAACTTTATATTTCTGGGATGAACCCCATTGATCAAACTGCACTATCTTTTAAATGTTTCGTATGCAAATTGACAGTATTTTATTAAGAATTCTTACATCAATGCTCATCAGGGATAATGCTCTGAAATTTTCTTTCTTGATTGTCTTTGTCTGGTTTTGGTATTAGGGTGATATTAGCTTCATAGAATGAACTTAGAAGGGTTCCCTCCTTTTCTATTTCATGGAATAATTTTTGTTAGTTCTTCTTGGAAGATCTGGTAGAACTCAGCTGAGAATCTGTCTGGTTCATGTAATTTTTTATACTTGGTTTAGATAGAAGATCAGAAATTTACTGTGTTTCAGCATTATGGATATTATTTATTATCTAAATTATATAAATTGCATGTGATAAGAACTAGTTGTTAATATTCATTTATTTATCTTGTGTACTGTGAATTGAACCCAGGAGTGCTCTGCCACTGATCTATATCCCCAGTCCTTTTTATTTTTTCATTCTGAAACTTTCTCACTAAGTTACCCAGGCTGGAAATCCTTCTGTCTCCACCTCTCAAGTCCCTGGAATTACAGGCATGCACCACCACACCTGGCTGAATAAAACCTTTTTGAATGTCTTATTCTCCTAATAGACTGAAATGACCTGATATTAATTTGTTTTATCATCCATTGAGAACTCAACATTGGATTTCCTTTTCATATTAGCAGCCAGGACAGTAATTTAGTTTTAGACTATATTAATAATTATAGCTAAGACATTAGAAATATTGAATTTTGACATTAAAGTATAATAAATTATGCAGATAAACAGGTAGGAGCTATCATTCATTCATTGCAAAGAAGTTGATGTTGCAGAAAAAAACTTTTTTCTTTTCTTTCTTTCTTTTTTTTTTTTTTTTTAGTGCAAAGGTTCAAACCCAGAGCCTTTCACATGCTAGGCAAATGCTCTACCACTGAGCTACATCCCATTTCCTCATTCTGGCTTGTTATAATTCATGATAGGAATACACCCCACTCGCTTTTCCCCTGTGTAAGTAAGATGGCCAATTTAGGATTTATACAAACTAAGCTGCTAATTTTCACCCATGAAGGCTGAGATGTTATGAAATGTTGAAATCTGACCTAAATGTCATAACTTACCACAGAAAGATAAGATCAAGACCTGGATAGTAAGGATATTGAAAGTCTTGCATCTTACTACATCTAGGAAGGGTTTTCATATGATTTTCATAAATATAAGCCAAACTGCATGTCAGAGACATGCTAAAGGTGTCACATGGTTTCTTCTACAACATCCCTTGGTAGAGAGCTGTAACAATATTTTCTAAAATACCTGTGAGCCTGACTCATCTTCCCTCAGTTTTCCTGGGAGCCACTGGATCCTGTGTCTGTCCACTTCCACCTTGTGCAAGATACATCTGTCCTCTTCTCTTCTTATTTAAATAGTTTTCAATATTTACGGAGGGGTAGAAATTGGTGAGGAAGCTTGTAGAAATACATTACTATTCATTTATTTTAGATAAGTACATCAGTTTCCTTTTATTATTCTAATTTGTAATAAACTGCATTTTTATTTTCTCATTCACATGTGTCTAACTAGTTGCCACTGTTCAATTATATTCTCTCTCTCTTTCTTGATACCAGGTATTAAACCCAGGGGTGCTTAACCACCGAGCCACATCTATAACCCTTTTTATTTATTCATTTTATATTGAGACAGTGTCTTAATAAATTGCTTAGGGCCTTGCTAAGTTGCTGAGGCTGGCTTTGAACTTGCAATCCTCCTGCTTCAGCCTCCCGAGTTGCTGGGATTATAGGTGTGCACCACCACATTTGGCTAGATTATATTCTGTACATACAATGTTTATTTGTATGTCACTTATATGGAGCAATCAATTAGTCTCATATATTCTGACTAAAATAATATGTATGTGTTCCATTCAGCTCTATTTTGGCTAATAAAATGTAATTTCAAAAGAAATTTAGGTAGGGCAGTAATCACAGATCTGGAAATCAGGAAAGCCTTGGATTCCCAGTTCTCATCTTGGTTCTAGTTTGTTGTGATTTTTTGGCAGATTTTTTTTTTTGGGGGGGGGGTTTCCTGTGTGATTTAATGCATTAGAAATCATATAAAATAAGAAAAATACAGCTTAAATTTGATAAACAAATCTAATCAAGAAAAAAGCAAGAACACAAAAAATATAAATGGAAAGAGAGCTATATAAATAATCCTTCAGTTGCTAAAAATATATTAATATTACAATTGTATGTGAACATATGTGGTCTATATTACACAAGGCTCCATTGGCTAAGAAAGTGTATTCAGTCCAAGTCCACATTGTCAATTGTATTTTTTAGTTCTTTGGCTTTAGTTTTTGTTTGGAGCATCTATCCAGTGGTCACAGAAAAGTTACCCAGTATTATTGAATTGTGGTCTATTTGATTCTTGAAATTGAGAAGGGTTTGACTGATGTGTGTAGATGCTCCATTGTTTGGGGCATAAATATTTATGACTGTTATCTTATTGATGGGTAATTCCCTTAAGCAGTATGGAATATCCTTGTCCCTTCTGATTAACTTTTTAAAATTTTTTAGTAGGGGGCTGGGGATATGGCTCAAGCGGTAGCGAGCTCGCCCAGCATGTGTGCGGCCCGGGTTCGACCCTCAGCACCACATACAAACAAAGAAGTTGTGTCCACCGAAAACTAAAAAATATTTTTAAAAATTCTCTAAAAAAAAAATTTTAGTAGTAGATGAACACAATACCTTTATGTGGTGCTGAGGATCAAACCCAATGCCCCACGCATGTGGGGCAAGCATTCTACCACTGAGCCACAACTCTAGCACCTATTTCTAGTTTTTAACTTGCATTAGTTTCTCATTTGACTATTCTCTTAGTGTAGTTCCTACAAAAACAAGCTGGTTTTCACTTTTCTCATTTCGTCTTTATGGTATATTTTGGTAAGAATGTTCTGTAGTGCAGGCTTTCTAGTTTCAAATTCCTTTTCTTTTGTTTATCATGGAAAGTTTTTATTTCATCTTCAAATCTGAAGCTTAATTTTGCTGGATTTGGGTTCTTGGTTGGCACCCATTTTCTTTGAGTTTGGTATGTTATTCCAGGAACTCCTAGCTTTGAGGATCTGGGTTGAGAAATCACCTGAGATCTGAATTGGTTTCCTCCTATAAGTAATCTGATAGTTTTCTCTTTCAGCTTTAAAATTCTATCCTTATTCTGTATGTTAGGCATTTCCATTATAGTGTGCCTTGGTATGGGTCTGTTTTAATTTTGTGCATTTGGGATCCTTTATGCCTCTTGTATTTGATTTTCCATTTCATTCTTTAGGTTTGGGAAATTTTCTATTATTTCATTGAAAAGATTGTGCATTCCTTTGATTTGTATCTCCACATCTTCATCTATCCTGATGAGAAAAATTTTTAAGTTTAGTCTTCTCATGTTAACCCATAGTTCTTGAAAGTTCTGTTTATATTTTAACATCTTCTCACTATGGTTGACTTTATTTTTAAGGTTATATATTTTGTCTTCATTGCCTGAGGTTTTGTCTTCCAAGTGATCTCATCTATTGGTGATGCTTTCCATTGAATGTTTAATTTGGTTTATTGATTCTTTCATTTCAAAGAGTTCTCCCCCGCCCAATCTTCTCTGCCTCTCTCTATTGAAGTGACCTTTTACTTTCTGTATTTCCTCTGAAATTCACTCCTTTTCTAACATTTCTTCCACTGTGGTGTCAATGGATTCTGTTATTGAAGTATCTTGGTTTGCTTGAGGTGATGATTTTTCATGTTGTTTGTATGTCTACCCATCTAACAATATGGATCTGAGGCAGCAGAGTTTCTATCTTGTGGACTTACAGTGTCTCTGAAGGTTTAACATACCTCAAGGGGTAGACAAATAATTAACAACAACCAATACAAACAATATATAGCATTAAACCAAATATTTCTACTATGATGTCTACAAAGTTAATTATCATAATAAACAGAAATGATATGATCAGTTATTGCCTACAATAATAACAAGCAGCTTGCAAAAGGGTTTATACTTTCAAATGGTGGACAGAGAAAACAGAAGTGATAGCTTGTGAGATTATGAGGGAGGAGAGAAGTAAAATATTAAAGGAAGTGTGAAAGAGAATAGAGATTGGCTGCTAGCAGAAGAGAATCAAGGGAAACAGGTAGAAGAAAAAAATATGTAAAGTAAAAAACTTTAAAAATTAAAAATAAATACAAAACAATACTAACATATACTAATCAAGCATCCTGTTTAACAAAAAACCTAATCCGTGAAAAAAAAAAAAAAGAAAAAAAACTGGCTTCAAAAATACTAGAAGAAAAGAAAAATTTTAAACTGTATAAATGTCCATGTACCATCAAGGTAATAATTAAACAGAGAAAAAGAATTTAAAAAAAAATTTTAAAACCTTGATGAAAATTTAAAAAATTCTTTCCATTGGAGTTCAAAATATTCTCAGCAGTTGTAGGTGGGGTTGTATGGAGTATGATGCTCCACCCTCTGTATTGCCTGAACAAAGGGCTGGGGATGTAGCTGCTCAGTAGTACAGTGCCCTTGGATGCAACTCCCATTACTCCCCCACAACAAGAATGAGCCACTGATAAACACAATATCTTTATTATAACTTGTAGTATTTCCTTCAGATTGCGTATTTTCTGGAGTATTTTACACAAATTACTTTGCATCAAGTTCTTCATATTACTCATAAGATTGCACTACATGACAATTTTTCATTAATTGAAACTGTGTTTCAACTAATAACTTTCTTGGGTTTTATTTTTTTTCTTCACAATGACAAGGTTTGATTCAGTGTGCATCCACATGTGTGAGCCAAATGGAGACTTTTATACATAGGGTTTCTCTCCACTGTGAATTTTTTCATGTTTTCAGGGACCTGGGATCACCAAATGCTTTACCACACTGCTTGAGTTCGTACAGATTCGCTGCACTGTGCATTTTTTTATGGGTTCTCAGGGCAGTGGAACAACGGAATGCTTTCCCACACTGCTCACAAACGTAGGGTCTCTCTCCAGTGTATAATCTTTCATGTATTTGAAGGGAACTGGGAAACAAGATTTTCTCACACTGCTTACACACATAGGATTTGCCCCTATGAGCTTATTCATGTGCTATAAAATGATTCAAAATAAGGAAGGTTTCCCACATTGCTCATATACATAAGGTTTCTCTCCATTGTGCGTTCTTACGTGGTATTTAAATGAAGAGGGATAAATGAAGGCTCTGCTGCAATGCTGTCAAAATATGGTTTCTCTTCAGTATGCATTTTTTTTTCTTTTATGTCTTCTAAAGGCACTGTCAGAACTGAAGGCTTTTCCACAGTGCATACATCTATAGGGTTTCTCTCCTGTGTGAGTTCTTTTATGTCTCCGAAAGGAATCAGAACAAGCAAAGGCTCTCCCACACTGCTCACATACATGTGGTTTTTCTCCAGTGTGAACTTTGTTATGTCTCCGAAAGGAACTAGAACAAGCAAAGGCTCTCCCACACTGCTCACATACATGTGGCTTTTCTCCAGTGTGCACTTTGTTATGTCTTCGGAGGGAAGCGGAATTATGGAAGGCTTTACCACACTGCTTGCATTCATAGGGTTTCTCTCCACTGTGAATGTTCTCATGTTCTTTCAGGTAACTGGCACTATAGAACGTTTTACCACACTGCTTGCATTCATAGGGTTTCTTTTCTCTCTCTCCATTGTGCGTCTTTACATGGTACTTAAAAGAAATGGAATAAACAAAGCCTTTACCACAATGCGGACATACATAGAGTTTCTCTCCAGTATGCACTCTCTTATGTTTTCGAAAGGCACTGTCAGAATGGAAGGCTTTCACACAGTGCAGACATTTATAGGGTTTCTCTTCTTCGTGAATTCTTTCATGTTTTCGAAAGGTACCAGAACAAGCAAAGGCTTTCCCACATTGCTTACATACATATGGCTTCTCTCCCCTGTGAATTCTTTCATGGTATCGAAGGGAACTCTGATCACAGAAGGCTTTACTGCATTGCTTACAAACAAAGGGTTTCTCTCCAGTGTGAATTCTTTCATGTGTGTAAAGGGAACTAGAACGAGGAAATCTTTTGCCACAACTCTTACACACAAATGGTTTCTCTCCGGTGTGAATTCTTTCATGCTCTACAAGGATACTAGAACGGGCGAAGGTTTTCCCACATTGCTTACATTTATAGGGCTTCTCGCCAGTGTGAGTCCTTTTATGATTTCCAACAGGACTGGAACACCTAAAGGCTTCATCACATTTTTTGTCACAGTGTCTCTCTCCACTGTGAGTCCTTTCCTGAGTCTGCAAACACTGAGAATAGCTGAAGGATTTCCCATACTCCTTCTGATTATATGGCCTCTCTCCATATTCCTGATGCTCACATGGTTCGTGTTCAGTGGGACCTCTCAGGGGCACCATTAGGGATGAATGACCAATGGTCACTTCTCCACACACAGGACTTTCACATGGTGTTACTCCTGGAGGAGTTTTTTCCTTCAAAATATGCTCTGGAGTCCAGTTAAGGTTTTCTGCACACTGACTATCTCCTTTGCATTCACAGAGTCTCTCAACCACTTGACTTCTTAGGTTTTTCCTGGGGCTTTTGAACTCATCTTCAACATTTAGTTCTTTCCATTTTTCTCCTATAAAGGCCAGGTTCCCAGAGGTTTCCTGCATCACATCTCTGTAGAGCTGCTTTTGGGAAGGATCCAGCAGTGCCCACTCCTCCTGGGTGAAATTCATGGCCACATCCTCAAAGGTCACGGGCTCCATCTCCTTACTCGTGCTGTGTCCAGGTGTCTTCCCTGTGGCTTCCGTCGGAAGTGGAGGTCAAGGAGCAATGGGAGGTGAACCACCAGGGGCTCAGCAATGAGCAGGGATCCCGCAGGTGGCAGTGCCAGACAGCACCACGTTTTTGCACTGCTTCTGAGCTTTAGCAGCCTCACACTCTTTTTGGCAGATTTTTAAAAAAATATTTTACTATTGCTTTCCTTATCTGTGAAATTAAGGAATTTGGGTGAGATTTCTTTAAAATTTCTGTCATTCCATTATACTTATGAAATTCTACAGTACTACAAAAATAAAATACTATAATCCTGAAAATATCTGATTTAACCTGAATTAAAATGAAAATCAAAACTAAAGACTACAAGTTTGTGTTTTTCTAAACAGAAACTTACAAGCTAAAAAATTGTTGACACCAATACTTTTAAGAATGAAAAATAGAGTAATTACTAGTTCTATTTAAATGAACAAAAGGAAAATTTTATAAATGTCTATGTATTATCATTTACATTTAAATAAATCTGTACTTACCTGCACTTAATCATTTAAAAATGCAGTCTATATCTCCATTAGTTTACTAGAAGGAAGAGATAAACTTTCCTATGTTATTAATTTCTTATTTTAATAATTGCAAGAAGATTTGGCTTGCATTTGGCTTATATTTATTTTTAAGGTTATATTTCTTATAATTAAGTGTATTTGATGAAATATTTGTTGTAGAAAATGAAAGTTATAAACTGTTTACCATGGGAAGTTTTGCATGCTCATAAACTAGATAATTAACCTATTCTGACCCACCTTTTTGTTTAAATTAACTCAACTGGCATCAACACAGTGCTGAAATTTTACAGCTAAAATGAGAACACATCTGAAGTGCCTTGTAAATAAGCAATTTTGCAAGTAAAAGAAATGTTTTAAACAGATTAGCTTTAAAACACAAGTCAGAAATACCATATGTTTACAAATGATACTGAGCTGTCAGTCATCTCCACCTATTATTGAAAATTAAGTAACCTTTATCTTGCTTTTGATAAAAAGTCGGACATTGTTTAATGTACGTCCTCTAATGAATAAATTTATTCATTCTTAAAAGAATTTATTGCATTTCCACAAAAGTAAAACAAATTCCAAATCTAGTTTATGATAATTCAAAATTGCTGATAAATATTCATGAAATGAAACTCCTTTTCTCGTCATGCTACTCCCACAGCAATATTGTTGTGCCCCTTGGTATAAGAAAGATAGCTTTTGTCTCTTCATCTCCTCTTCACAGCATCCCAATTGTTAGATGGGGCTAGTTGAACCCACACAACTAAACAGGGTTGGGTAGTCCTGGAGAGTGAGGGTGTTCTCCTGCTGTCATGGGCTGCTACTTTATCTCTTACTGGGAACAGGAAAGAAGTTATTAAGACAAGAGAAAGCTTAGGTTAACTATGGAGTACATTGTTAGTAATTCTTTAGCATAAAAATAAGTCTTTGCCACTACATTTGAAACTGAAGATGTTGAGAATGAATTTGTCTAAAATAAGTTCTATTTTCGATTATAGTCAATCATAAAATTAAAGATTTATTGCCATGAAAGCAGTGCTTCCAGTATGTTGAATTAATTTTTTTTTTCAGAAAATGTTAAATCAGTGACAGTCTCTACCATATTGATGTGTAAAATATGAGTCAAGATGGGCTTGGAGTTGAACTTCTAACCAGGCCACTAATTTTCTCATTGTAGCACTATCCCAAGCTCGCTGTTATCTTTCAGTGACCCCAACACCCCAGAACATAATAATTTCCCCTTTGGTTGTAAATACCAAATTTGTATGCATGGAACCCAGAGCTTTACTGATGGAGTGGACACTAGGGATGGCCTGCTGAGGACCCCTTTCCTCATCAGCTTGCTTATCAAGAGAATCATTAGTGCTCCTTGACCCTAACCGTTGACTCCAATTATTTGGTTCAGGAGTGGGAACACTTAAACCAGGTCAGAGTCACTTTTCTCTGAGATATTTGATCTTTGGACTAAGAAAAAGTGCCATTATTGTCTGTAGACTACAAGGTTAACATGAAAACACCATTGGTTTGGCAGCTATATTTTATATCATATGGAGAAAACCAGACTATAGTAAAAGAAGAAAGAAGTCATTCCTAGAGAGAAGCAAAGAAGATAAGTGGCAGGTATCCTGAAGACTCTCAAGTTCCTGATTCTAGCTGTTCCTGAAGTCTGCTACGGTTTTGCTATGGAAATATTCTATATTTCCAGATTCTTCTGATATCTTGCTGTTTAACTTAGGTCAGCTGAGATTTTGTTACTTATATCAAAGAGAATCTAACCAACAGGTCTTCATTTTATTACCTGGTGTCTGGTAATCAACAGTGTCTAATGGAACTTGGTTGATACACTATATTGCTAGAAACTGATAGTGTATAATACACATTAGCTCAACAGAATGAGTTTGAAGTTATGAAAACTTGTCTCTCAGTAATTTCCTATGCATCAATAAAGTCATAATTTTTAATGTTAACTTGGAATAGAGGATATGCATATTTCAGTATAAGAGGATAGGGATTGTGAGTCTGTTTAATGTATGTCCTCTAATGAAAAGGAGGACAATTTTCTTTTCTGATTCTGCATATCACTTTAGGGTGAGTAGAATTAAAAGAAATTACATTGGAGGTAGAAATTGTATTTGAGATAATCTAGTTCATTCTTCTCATTTTTTCCCAGAAAGATCAACTGAGGTAAGAATGGAGAATTGATTTATAGTAATTAGCAATATTACTCTGGTTTCTTGACTTCTAGATCAGGTGCTCTGTAGAATTTCTCTGTGGATGGAAGAATACTAAGTTGCTGTGTGACCATTCCCCTAGAGTCTTGATTCCTCCTCTATAAACTGAGTGTGGATCATATGAGATGATAACTAAATTCATTCTGGTTCTAATATTCTCTGATTCAATAATTTTATGGTACATAAAATAATTATACAATTTATATGATGTTAGAGGCTTTGGTTTTATTTGAAAATCTGGATTGAAATTCTGCTTTTAAAAAGAAAAAGAAATGACAGAAATTAAGGCAAAAATGTAATTTATATATTTTTTTGGCAATTTACAAGGTGAATCATTATAGCTTTTTATAATCATCTTGCCACTTACATCTGGCTTACAAACAGATTTTGGTGTTTACTATTTTTCATTTAATCTAAGTGCAATGCTTTTCAATTAAAAATACATCAGATGGGACTCAGAAGATAATTCAGTACAGAACACTTAGAGCTTCAGCCTTGAGGATAAAAATGTGTTATATTTTAAAAGGTTTAGCATTAATGATACTTTTGAATTAGTCATATCTTAAAATAAGTTAGAGGGAGATTATTAACAATAATGCATTTCTAAGTAATGTTGAAATTTATAGGACATTTCAAGAAAGACAATTTCCAACACCCTTGCTTTATTGGGATGGTTTGGGTTGAATCTATATTATTATTATTATTATTATTATTATTATTTGTGTGTCCTTGGGCAACTACCCTACCTTTCTAAGCCTCAACTTCCTTTTCTGTAAAATGGATATGCTATTTATATATAATTGAAAGGATTGTTGTGTATATGTGTGTGAAGAACCTATCATGGTGTTTGTTGTCTGGAAAGTGTTTAGTGGCTGTTCCTATTACTCCTGTCCTTGAAATATGACTTTAGACCTATTGATAACTTTGGAAAAAGGGAACATCTTCAAGCAAGATTTATTCCAGGTTTGAGTTGGCATCTCCATAACCAAATGATCATTGGAAGTCAAACATGTGTCTTTATTAATGAATGGGAAGGTTTTTTTGTTTTTATCAAAACACATATTTTAGGTCATTGAAAGTAATAGTCACTATAGAGTTTGTTAGTTTTGTTGCTTTCACATATCAATAAAAGTATGTGGATGTGGATGTGTATGCGTAATTCTAAATTTTTCTATGTACCAAATAACTGTATTATTATTTCCATTGTTTAGGCAAAGAAACTTGTTTAGAAGTTGATATTTACACAACTCAGTGTTGGAATTGTCATCTGAAATCAGGTATTTCTTACTGATTCTGGCCCATCATTCTATTTAGTGAATATTTGTTAGGACTTTTTCAAGAATAAAGCACCATCATGGATACCAGGGAGTCTTACTGTAGAGCAGGCCTTTTATGTTTGCTCACCCAGTACTTTTCCCTCCCACTGTCCTGTGCAGGAGCTCCCCACAGTTGTCTGAGTGCTCAGCCACCCACCAAGCTCTAACTGTGAAGTGACAGAGAGAGCTTTCATGTTGACCTCACTCCAATCAGCAAAACCGCCCAAGGGAACAGCTCGATACCAGAATGAGAGACTTAGAAATCCTTAATAGACTCTGCGTCATAGTCCATGGAGAATGCTAAGTGTGTTTACTTTAGGAAGACTGGATGCTTGATGCTTTCAAGCCAGTTTGACTCCTTCCTAAGAATTTGGATTTATAGAAGAGATGCATGTGGATTTATGAACATATGCATATTTAGCACTTGGGAAATAATGGCAGTCACATTCTGCTACTGAGGTAAGGAGAAGGATTTTCTGAAATAAGACAGAAGAGCCAGGTAGATATTTAGAAGCCAGTCAAGACATAAATAGATTCAAAGTTTAGGTGGTGATCTAGTTCTTGAACCTGCCTTCTTGCATGGGGTTTCATGATGCATTCTAGCATGCTTACAGTTAAACCTCCCTTTTTGGTTAAATTAGTTAGAATTATATTTTGGTGCATCCAAAAAGGATGTATAACTAATACCAAAAAACCCCCAAGATTAAAAACATGAAGTCTCTGCTTCTGTGAGTAAAGAACCAATATTGATATTTCCCAAATGACCAATATAGGATACAGAGGAAATTGTTGAAATGCAGATTTCAGGGCACTGCTTCCTATAGGTTCTGGTTCAGGATATTTCAAATTTGCCTTGGATCCAGGTACAGTGGCACATGCAGTGAGACTCTGTGTCAAAATAAAAAAATAAAAGGACTGGTGATATAACTTAGTGGTGGAGTGCCACTGGGTTCAACACACACACACACACACACACAGAGAATTTGGTCTGGAAGTCTGTATTTTAATAAATGTTTCATGTGAGTCTGAGGCACGACAAGAATTGGAAACTGGCAGAAATACTTTTGTAAATGTTTTAAGAGCATGGAAATGTGACTTAAAGATGGTTCAAGCCATTCAATTATGATACATCAGCTATACTGCAGTTTAAACACTGATTTGATGATAAAATTAACATTTCTTTCTGCTTATGGAGTTATTTTTCCTTTGATGTGTCAGGAAGAGAAGAGAGGAAGCAATGTCACCGAACTTGGGAATCAGAGATTTGGTGGACAAATCAGGAAGAGCAGAAGGTCAGAGTGGAAGATTGCGCCCAGGAAAGGAGTAGTGAGTTGTGGGTGGGCAAAGGAGACAGAGCGTTACGCTGCTCAAACCACCAGGGTGTCAGGCATCCCTGACCAGAAGTGAGGGAAAAGGCAAAAGAACAAAAGCCCTTTTGATGGAAGAAGCCTTTGCGTGTCTTTGTCCCTGACCTTGACCTGCCTGCTGGGAAGGTAGCTCAGACTGTACAGCATGATATTCACCTGATCTCCATCTCTTGATCTCATGGGATATTGCCAGGTCTTGGGAAGAATGACTTCCTACCCCAAACTGACCCTGCTGTAATTGACATTTACCTTGGCATCTTTCAGAAGTGCAGACCATCAGCAATGCATAGAGCAGCTCTAATCACAGTCGAGCTGCAAGGACACTCATGAGAAGCTTTTCCATCTTAGAAACACAAACAGCTCCATCGATCTTGCTAACACCCTAGAGGTAAGTGTGAGAGCAGTTGTCTTGGGGGTGGAGTGGGGAGAAGGGATGGCATAATGATTCTTGAGTTGTTTCCTGGCTTTGCCAAAAAGCATTACTGGAAAATGGAAGTGGGTGTGGTTAAATTCTCAATACCTTAGAATGTCATTGCAGGAAGAAAATGTAGAGATTATTTCATCCATAATTCTATTTTTACAATTGAGAGACAACTTGAGAGAAAGAAACTGACATGTCCAAGGTTCATATGTGTAGTTGGCGGGAGAGACATGTCTAGAATTTAGGTCTCCCAATAACTTAGTGTTCAATAATTGGTATCTAACTATTAAGCTGTGCACCAAAATTGCCATGAGTAAGACTGCGACTGTGATAAAGCATGAGAATACAGCTCGTCTAAGACACAGAACTGTAACAATGATGATATGAGTCAGCTTGAGCTGCCATAGCATAATAGCATAGACTTGGTGGCTTGAACAACAATAATTTGTTTCTCACAGTTCTGGAGGTTGGGAGTTCCAAGATCAGGGTGTTTACTTATTAGATTCCTGATTTTCTGGTTTGTAGATAGCCACCTTCTTACTATGTCCTTATATGATGGTGGTGGTGGGGAACACACTAATGTCTCTTCTCATAAGGTTGCTCATTTCATTGAATCAGGACCTCACCCTGTTACCTCATTTAACCTATGTTACCACCTCCTAGGTCCTATGAATGAGTCTAATAACACTGGGGGTTGGAGTCCATAGCAATGAGCAGCTTCAAACTAGTCTGCATCAGGCTCATCCTTGGTCATACTGATGATTTAGATGGAGGTAGGAACTTGCATTTACAGCCATCAATATAGACCCTGCTTTTGAAAGGAAGAGGAAGCAAAAGCAATTATTAATAATGATACACCTACATGTTGTGTGGTGTTTTCTTATGAAGACAGGAAAAGTCCATAGAAAAATCAATTCCGTACAAGTCAAATAACATCAATGACAGTCTTAGGCAGATAAATGAAGTCCCCAGGGTCAGTTGACTGAACTGAGTAGTTGTGCAATCTCTTGTCTACAATTCTAAAACCCAGAAAACTCTGAAATCTGATTGTTTGTCTATAAATGTGTAGCAAACTTGCTGGGAGGCAAAATCTGACCTGTCCTGATGTGAAGCTGTTCATAGATCTTACTTAAGGAGAATATATTTATATGTTTGCTTCAGAAATACTAAAACATTTTATTATAGGTTCCTGTCCTAGACCCTGTGGTGCCTATTAAGAAAGCTACTGAATTATCTTTCTGAAATCCAAATAAGTATGAATTCTTGAAACACATATGGCACCAAAGGCTTTAGAAATGGAGATTCAAATTTGAATGGAGATTCAAGTTTGTGCTAATGTGGATATTCCGTTTTCAGGACTGGAATGACTTGTGGTTTGGGAAGGAGGAAAGGCAAGGTTAAGCAGAAGCAATTATTTGTTCAAATTTCCTTGGTAGTGAGCTGATGCTGAGCCATCAGATTGAGTGTGTTGACTGAGTTGGGCAGAACTGCCACTTTTACTTCTGCCCAGTGCCTTACTACTGCAAGCAGGGAATTCCTCAAATGAAATTTTCAGGTCCATATTGAAGTGTTCTGAGGAAGAGCCATGGTGTTTGAAACAGCAATAGGAGTCAGTCATTTCAGGAATTTGGTGATGCTGTCTCAGCCTGCGGTTGACCTGGAGGGGAACCTGACTTTCTGCCATTCCCTTCTTGTTCCTCTCTTCTTGATGGAAATTGGCCAAATCTCTTGATCTATAGGCTTCCCCCTTTTTTTCCATTTAAGTGTAGATGTTGTGAATAGCTTTCCTTACCATATTCCGGATCAATACATAAAATATCATTTAGAAAGGACTCTCAGTCCCACATAGGCATTGTTTGGAAGGTTTCTTGATGGTGCAGCCTTTGGTTCTTGTAGGATGAGTTCTAGGCTGGGCGTCAGGAATCTTGGCTTTAGTTCCAGCCTTGATATTAATTTCCAGTGTGACCCTGAACATGCAGCTTTCCCTCTCTAGACCTGTTTCCTTATTTAGAAAATAAGGGATTTGAAACTGGTGATCTCTGAGACCTATTCTAGTAATAATACTAAACCTATAAATAACAAGATGATAATGAATTCCTCTAGGACCCCCGTCTGTTTAGCAGCTTATGGTTTACAGTCAACATTCACATTGATCAAGTCATTGAATTAGCTTGTTGGTATATGATGGACAAAAAAAAAAATATTATTCTCTCCTAAAAGTTCAGTGAGAAGGAAACAAGGCTACCATATAAGCTAGAGTCAAACAAATGGCAAAACCAGGTTGTCTGGCTCCCTGACACCCCAGCCTGATTCTTTACAGTCTGCTTTGCTACTTCATTAGTTTCAGAGAGATTCTGTGCTCAATAGTGTTCACAGAAAAAGCATGCTTGGAAACTACTTCAAGTATTAAAAACATTTTTTTGTTGTTGTTACTGGGGATTAAACCCACTGAGCTACATCACCACTCTTTTATTTTTTTGTTTTGAGATAGGATCTCACTAAGTTGCTTAGGGCTTCACTAATTTGCTGAGGCTGGCCTTGAACATATTACAATCCTCCCACCTCAGCCTCTTGAATCACCAGGATTATAGATGTGTGCCACCATGTCTGGCTCATGTCCAAAATTTTTTAAGCCTAGTGTTGGCCTAGGTTGAATAGCATTTTCTTTTCTTTTTTTTTATTGGTTGCTCAAAACATTACAATGATCTTAACATAGCATTTTCTACATTTTGACCATACTCTATTTGAGGAGAAATAGCCAAATAATACTTTAGCTTTTGTTAATCAAGATACTGGTTTTTCTTATTATCTGAGAAGATATTGGAAAATATTGGCAAAACAGTTTTAGAAATCAATAAGAGAGAAGGCCAAGAAGAGGAGAGTCATTTCTCTTTCTAGGCCTCAGTTTCCCCATCTGCAAGTGTACCTGGCATTCGGGGCTCTCTGTCATCTGGCTCTGACCATCTATAGCACTACTTCTCTGCAAACTCCAAAAACTCTTTCTCTTGCCCATGAGGCATCCTAACTCCACTCTTGTTTTCCTAATTCCCTCTTTCTTTGATATTTTATCTCCACTATTCCAATTTTCCCTGTTTTTTTTTTTTTTTGTTGTTGTTTGTTTGTTTTGTTTTTGGTACCAGGGGTTGAACTCAGGGGCACTCAACCACTGAGCCACATCCCCAGCCCTATTTTGTATTTTATTTACAGACAGGGTCTCACTGAGTTATTTAGTGCCCTGTGGTTTCTGAGGCTGGTTTTGAACTCTCCATCCTCCTGTCTCAGCCTCCTGAGCTGCTGGGATTATAGACATGTGCCACCGCACCCAGCCAATTCTCCCTGTTTTTTTGGTTTTGTTTTTTAATATTTTTTTGTAGTGGTAGTTGGACACAATACCTTTTTTTTTTTAAATTCATTTTTATGCGGTGCTGAGGATCGAACGCAGTGCCCCTTATGTGCCAGGTGAGTACTCTACAACTGAGCCCCAGCCCCAGCCCTAATTCTCCCTGTTTTAGAGAGAGAGAGAGAGAGAGAGAGAGAGAGAGAGAGAGAGAGAGAGAAATTTTTAATATTTATTTTTTAGTTTTCGGCAGACACAACATCTTTGTTTGTATGTGGTGCTGAGGATCGAACCCGGGCCGCACGCATGCCAGGTGAGTGCGCTACCGCTTGAGCCACATCCCCAGCCCAATTCTCCCTGTTTTTAAGGCTGTACAGATGCCTCAGAGCTTTCCCTGAGCTCCCAACTGGAAGCCGGCATTCTTTCCCCACCTCAGTTACTTATTTGGCTTGAGGATGATGCTTTGCAGTTTCTACCTGGTGACATACCCTGTGCTCTTATCCAGGACACAGCTCTGGATCCTGCCTCCTTCCTGGGACTGGGTACCTAGTGAATTGAGAGCTTCACAGGTATACAAACAAAGAATTAACCATATCTGAAGTCCCTTCTAACACCAACTCTGTGGTTTATTATATTAATATAATGCTTATTCTGAAGCATGTTTAACAAGAATCTACTTGGAAGATTGTAAACAAAGTTATAATTGAGACTTGTCTAATCAAAAACCAAACAGTCTTGGTGGATTTCTTGTTCCTTTAAAAAGTGACTCCTTCAAAGGTAGGTGCCATGTTATGGCGGTGTGGAGGGGGGACTTCCTGGAGACCTTTTCTGGGGAGAGTTAACTTTGAGATTCTGTTCTGCTTCTTACTGACTGTGTAACTTTAGGCAAATCATGAAATGTTTCTGAGCCCAGGTTTTTCAGCCAAAAGATAATGATATGCGTTTTACACAGTAATGTTGGGAGGAATGAATGTGATAATGGACTTGAAAGTGTTTTGCAAAGTGAAAAGAATGCCATCCATAATAGAAGTTATTATTATCATTATCATTATCAATATCAATTATTATTTTAGGAGTAATTTCCATGGGATATAAATTCATTCTCTAAAGCTCCTTTGGGCTTCAAAGTGTACAGACTGTATTTACAAGTTTATATCAGATCTAATAGGAGATTGAATAACAGCCAATCAATGCTGAAAGTCTTGGGTCCCTATTTACAGAGTGCCTTTCCTCCAAGATCAAGAGCTGCTCAAAGCTGGATCCATCATTCTTTGATTTCCATTTGGTCTTTCATCCAACTAACATTTACTGTGTGCCTACCATGTGTCAGGCAGAATTTCAGACAAGTGGGTGGATTATTAATATTGTTAATGTTAGGTTTATATTATGGAAAATGAGGGGCTTTTCAAAGCCACATGAACAGACAAAACTGGGCAAAGGGCTCCAGTTCTGAGCTGAGGGTAGGTAGTGGCCTGCGTTGTGCTAAGAATAATTTCTTAGCTCATGAGCCAAAGCTAGATACCCCGGTTTTGAGTCATATGTATTCACGCACAGCAAACTGGGTCTTTGCCTTTATGTGCCCCTAATGAGAAGTGATGTCAGTGGCTGAAAGGCACATCATGTGACTCAAGTTGCAGAGGTTAGATTTCTGACCTTCTCTGGTTGGCTTAGTTGCAGACAGTTTGGAAAGTTTAAATGTTGATATTGATTGCTAGAGATTTGTCTGTCCTGAGCTGACACCTGCAGAGCCCTGCACCTGGGTACAGACACGTCCATAGTGCTGCAATTTCACTTTCATCCTCCAGAGACAACAGACTTCCAAGTAGAGGGTTTTTAAGATGCTGGGATAAAAGCTAGGCTTTTATGTGTGGTGACTCAGAGAGCAGGGATTCAGCAGGGGTATGCTGAGCCAGCCAGCCCTGTGTGTCATGAGGGAGATCTAGGCATGCTGTCCACTTCAGGCTTGTAGCCTCTCAAACACACATCCTACCAAAGGGCTCTGAGTGGGCTTCCACAGCTTTGGAACAACCCCAGCAGTGTTAGTAGAACAGGAAAGTAACATAGGTAATAGGTATAGCTTTTTGTTGTGGCATTGTTAATAGCTGATTTGCCACATTTGCCAAGGAATTTTGGACCTGGAGAAAGAGATGATAGGGCCAACCCCTTTTAAAAGCTCACTTTAGGGTGATGAAGAACATACAGAAATAGTTAAAAGGGACCACTCGTTGAACAAATAGTTCATGACAGCATTTGTTCACCCAAATCATACTCTTTGAAGAGTAAAAAGCATTTGGTGGGACCAGGAAACATTTTTTGTTTTATTTCCAGGATATGGTATTTGGGATAGTTTTGTAATTTTTGAAAAATCAAAACAAAGAAACACAAGGGATGGGAAGTGGTATGTTCCAGAGGTAAGCAATGTCCTACAGGCAGGGAAGTAGAAGCTGTTCTTGGGCCTTCAGAATGTTCTCCCAAGGATGGACAGGAGAGTGAGAACTATGAGGCCCCTGGACAGCCAGCTCAGCACCTGGGTAACTGGGTGGGTGGCACTGGAAGACTTAGAAAGTCTTTGGAGGCATTTAAAAGTCAGCATAGTATAATGATACCTACAGATCCATGTTTACAGATTGCCTATGTTCAACTTAAATACCTTGTCTATATTTACTATTTCACTATTTACCCACTTGTATGCCATAGATTGCTCAGAGTAATTAGAAATCTAGCCTTTTATTGAATAATGTGTCACTGTAAATATAGGGTCAACATTCCAGCATATAGCCAGGCACAGGCAATGACTTTCTCAACAGTACCCCTAAAGCTCAGGAAATAATACCAAGGCATTAAATTAAAAAGCATCTGCACAGCAAAGGAAACAATTAAGAATGTGATGAGGGAATCCACAGAAAGGGAGAAAATCTTTGCTAGCTACTCTTCTGACAGAGGATTAATACCTAGAATATATAAAGATCTCAAAAAACTGTATACCAAAAAACCAAATAACCCAATTAGTAAATGGACAAATGAATTAAACAGACAGTTCTCTAAAGAAGAAATGCAAATGGCCAACAAATATATGAAAAATGTTCGACATCATTAATAACTAGAGAAATACAAATCAGAACTACACTGAGATTTCAGCTTACATCAATCAGAGTGGCAGACATTGAGAATACAAATAATAATAAATGCTGGAGAGGATGTGGAGAAAAAGGAACACTTTTAGACAGTTGGTGGGTATTTAAAATTATTGTACAACCATTATGGAAATCAGAATGGAGGATCCTCAGAAGACTAGGCATAGAACCACCATATGACTCAGCTATACCATTTCTTGGTATTTATCCTAAAGAATTAAAGTCAGCATAGTATAATAATACATGCAGATCCATGTTTACAGCAGTGTAATTCACAACAGCCAAACTATGGAACCAGCCTACATGCTCATCAATGAATGAATGGATAAAGAAAATGTGGTATATACACAAAGGAGTTTTATTTAGCCACAAAGAAAAATGAAATTATGTTATTTGCAGGAAAATGGATGAACTAGAGACCATTATGTTAAGCAAAATAAGTGAAACTCAGAAGATCAAGGGTCATGTTTTCTCTCATATGTGGACACTAGAGAGGAAAAATGAAAGAAAGGTAGTGATGGTGAGCTCATGAAAATCAAAGGGAGGCTGTGTCCCTGTAGTAGAAAATAATGCTAAGTGAAGTTAGCCAATCCCCCAAAAGACAAATGCTGAATGTTTTCTCTGATATAAGGTGACTGACTCAGTGGGGTAGGGAGGAGGAGCCTGGGAAAAATAGAGGAACTCTAGATAAGACAGAGGGGTGGGAAGGGAAGGGAGGGGACAGGGGGTTAGCAAGAATGGTGAAATGTGATGGCCATCAAAGTACATGTATGAAGACATGAATTGGTGTCAACATACTTTATATACTACCAGAGATATGAAAAATTGTGCTCTATATGTGTATTAAGAATTTTAATGCATGCTGCTGTCATTTATTTAAAAAAATCAATTAGAAAGAAAAAAGAAAATCAATGGGAGATCAGTAGAAGAAAGGCACCAAGGGGTGGTTGTGGGAGAGGGAGGGGCTAAGTGCTGGGGAGCGATATTTGCTAAATTATATTATTACATTGTGTGCATGTGTAAATACGTAAAAACAAATCCCATATTTATGTACAGCTATAATGCAGTGACAAGAAGTGTGGAACAGAAAAAAAAATTCATGGTGATTTCTGTTGAGTGAAGGCCTAGAAAGACTACTACAATGATTATTTTCCAACTACTTAAGCTTTGCTATGAATATCATGAAGTTTTCTTGCTTTAGCAAAATGGCCCTAGAAATTTAGTAACTATATTAGGCCATTAGTTTTATTTTGATAAATAGTATATTGGCTAGTGTGGGGGGAAATATACCTCCTATCTTCTTTTTGATTATATTCCTTTGGACCCCAGCATCTTTCTACTTGATTTAAATATAAATGTTCATCCTATTTTTAACAGTACCTTCCTCTTTTTTTTTCACTTGATTATTACAATATTCCCAATGATTTAGGAATTAGTTTATTTACCTAGTTGTCCAGTTTTATCAAAGCAATGTTTTAATGTAAACAATCATTAACAAGATCTGATGACTTTCCTGGAACAGATTAATAATGTCCATGGTCAAAGAGTTATGGAAATAATGTCCTTCATGATATACAATTTTATAACTGTTCATTTAAATATTAACCAATAATGCTCTGATAAACTAATTTCAATCTTAGTGCATTTTTTTAGAATGATAAGAATTTACTCAGGAGTATTTATTTTATTTTAGTTCATTTGAGCATAGATATTCAGGATATTCTTTACTTCTTGACACTATTGTATGAGCATTCAAATTGAAACTATTTATCATGCTTATTGTGGCAATAAAATATTACAATCCAAACAAAAAAAGGGAAGAAAATTTTAAGTTTGAAGTATTCAAATTCAGTCCATCAATGACTACTTAATCCAACCACATGCTCAATTTAACAACTTTTGTTAGCTCTATTTACTTGGTTTACTTTGCCTTGTGAACCTTAGAAACAAGGATTCATAAACTTGAATATAATATATACATAAAGCACATAGCATCTAGAGCAAGTGGTAAATAAATTGTACATACCACTTATCAGGCTCTGTGCCAGCTTTTCTCTTGATCTGTCCTCCAGGGCAGGGCAGACAAGAGGTGAGCCAATGGGATTTCTGTGGACACGGGACAGAGACAGAGCTGCTATTCTGAAGATTGTTCAAAAGTTCATGGAATTAAGAGACAGAAAGGCATAGCTGGAAAGAAAGTGAGGTCAGAATTTGGATCCTGCATCATGCTGATTAGGGAGGTGAAAGCAAGTCAGATGCAAAGTGGATAGAAAGACTCCCAGATCAAACTGCTGAGTGGATGGGGTCAAAGGAGGAGGATCTAAATTTGCACCTGGTCCAGATTTCTCTTTTGCAGTGTCAACAACTTGGGAAGTAAAGGTTGGATCCTCAAAGGAGCTGCACTGAGAAAGACAGGTCTAGGGGAAAACATATGTGCAAGAATCAGTCTTTGCAGCCAAGAAGCTGTATCTGATTAAACAAGTAAATATGAAAATAGTTGTTATGGTTTGGATCTCAATGTCTGCCAAGGCTATGTGTTGATGGCTTGTGTACCACCAGCCTGTGGTATTAGTGGGAGATGGTGGAACTTCTAAAAGGGAGGGCCCAGTGGAAAGGGAGTGCCTCAGGTCACTATGAGCGGAGATATTGGGATCCAGGGCCCTTCTCCTGTCTTTGCTTCCTGGCCACCAGGAGATAAGCAGCTTTGCTCCAATGCAAGTTCCTTGTCAAAGGCAACAGGGTCAACTGATCATGGATCTAAACCTATGAAACCATTAGCTAAAATAAACCTTTCCTCTTTTAATAAAACTTTCCTTTTAAGTTGATTTTCTCAGGTATTTTGTCAAAGCCATGGAAAGCAGACTTACACAATAGTCAGTGCTAAGTCCAAGGGAAAGTAAGCCAAGCACTTTACCAAAGGTAGTT